TCAGAATGAGCAGTTCGCAAGTGGCTAACAAATGGGGTTATCCATTAGATTGTTTCTTCGGGATAATCCTTCCCCAAGTGTAGGCCCCAAACCATGTGCATCAGAATTCCCTAGCACCATGTTAAAAATACATATGTTTTAAGTTCTATTCTTGATCTGCTGAGTCAGAAATGATGGGGGTTGACTCCAGAGATCTGATTTGCTAAAAAGCACAGTAAAATTTGAAAACATTGCCCTTAGATCAAAGGGTGAAAGGAAATTGAGGGAAATCCCTTCTGGCACTAAGAAGGGTGGAGGAGGTTGCATCCTAGGTAAAAAAAAAAAAAAAGGGAAGCAGATAAAATAAAGACAAAGCTTGCCTATTAAAAAGGTTTCAAGTTTTTTATCTCAGTTCTGACTACTATAGATTTAAACCAGACTAAAGTGTGTTCTGAAAACACGTGCTGTATAATGCTTCTAAGGTAATTCACTCTGCCAGGCACTAGGAATGCCAAAGATGAAGTTTGCATCTTCCTAGAAGAGCCAGGCAGGTAACCTAATAGTTAAACTATTGTGTGGTCCACAGTGAGATGCAATTTCACATCCACTAGCATGGCTATTATAAAAAAGACAGACAGTGACAAGTGTTGGAAAGGATGTAGAGAAACTGGAATCTTTATATGTTGCTGGTTATGTAAATAACTGGAATATATAATGATGCACCTCTTTGGAAAACATTTTGGCAGTTCCCCAAAAGTGAAACATAAAGTTATGTGTCTCCCAGCAATTCCACTCATAGGTTTATACCCAAGAGAATTAGAAACATGTTCATACAGAAATTTCTATTCAAGTCTTCACAGCAGCATTGTTTATAACAGCTAAAAAGTGAAAACAACCCAAACACTCATCAATTGAATGGATAAGCAAAATGTAGTATTTCTACGCAATGGAATATTATTTCACAATAAAAAGTAACGAAGTATTAATATATGCTACAACATGGATGAAGCTTGAAAACATTATATTAAGTGAAAGAAATGAGATACAAAAGGGCATCCATTGTATTATTCTACTTATATGAAATGTCCAGAATAGGCAAATCAATAGTTAGCAATTAGATGAGCAGTTGCCAGGGATTTTGGGGACAGAAGGAAATGAGGAGTGACTCTCGATGGTTGCAAGGTTTCTTTTGGGGATGTTGAAAATATTCTGGAATTAAATAACAGTTCTGGTTGCACAACTCAGTGAATATACTAAAAACTACTGAATTGTACATTTTATTATTATTGTTGTTATTGTTATTGTTATTGTTATTTTGAGTCAGGGTCTCACTCTGTCGCCCAGGCTGGAGTGCAGTGGCATGACCACAGCTCACCGCAGCCTCAGCATCCTTTGCCTAAGCTTCCCGAGTAGCTGGGACTACAGGTGTGTGCCCCCACAACCAGCTAGTTTTTAACATTTTTTGGTAGAGACAAGGTCTCACTATTTTGCCCAGGATGGTATCAAACTTCTGAGTTTAAGCAATCCTCCTGCCTTGGCCTCCCAAAGTGTTATGATTACAGGCACAAGCCACCATGCCTGGTCAAATTGTGCACTTTAAAATAGTAAATCATATGATGTATGAATTATATCTCAATTTTTTAAGTGATGGAAGAAATGACCAAGAAAAAAGTAATAACTTTGACTAAATTTTAAAAATTATATGCAGTGCAAACATATCATATAAAGGTAATCAGAGACCACACAAGATCTCCCCAAGGGCACTTAGTTGGTAGAGTGGGATAATACTAGGGAGGGCTTCCCAAGAAGGACTTTAGGGATGAAGAGGATATCCAAAGGCCAGTCATCATTGAGGACATAGCCCTTTAGAGAAACAGCAAATAATTGGACGTGACAAGACAGTGGAGGATTGGCAGGCAAAGAAACTAGAGAAGAAAGCAGGGATGAGATCAAGAAGGGCCTTGAGATATTCAAATCGGAGGAGAAAAGATGAACTTTTTAAGTGGTGTTGGGATAACTGGAGAGCCATATTTTTAAACAATTAAATTGAAGTCACTACTATATCATATACTACTATTGATTGGAAAGGGGTCAGATATTTAAATAATTTAAAAAACGAAATCATAAAATACTAGAAGAAAATATGGTAAAATTCTTCAGTAACCAGGAGTGGTGAAAATCTCCATGACTATGACTCAGAATCCAGAGAAAAAATTGAGAAATTTGACTGCTTGAATCTAATCAAGCAACCAGTTTACAGGAAATACACAAGATAAAGGAACTTGCTCAATGATGCCACAGGGTGCAGTCAGCAAAATCAAGAATGTGGGTACCTCTACAGATTTGTGCTACTTTTTTTTTTAAACAAACAAATACCCCTCAAAAGGTGGGAAGGGTACCTTTTAGATTAAGTATCAAAAGACATATGAACAGAATACAGTGTGTGGATCTTATTTGTACCCGATTTTTTTTTTTTTTTTTTTTTTGAGTTGGAGTCTCACTCTGTTGCCCAGACTGGAGTGCAGTGGCCGCTCCCGGCCACCGCAGCCTCGACCTGCTGGGCTCCGGCGATCCTTCCGCCTCAGCCTTCCGAGTAGCCGGAATTACAGGCATGCGCCACCACGCCCGGATGATTTTTTGATTTATTGTAGAGATGAGGTCTCGCTGCCCAGGCGGGTCTCGAACCCGCGGGCTCAGGCAATTCACTCACCTCAGCCTCCCAAAGGCACGGGATTACAGGCTGAGCCACCGAACCCAGCTCCGATTTTTTTTTTAAACTGAAAAAAAGCAATTTTTGAAACAATTGAAAAAATTCAAGCACTGGATAGATACTAGATCATTTTAAAGAATTATTAATTTTTGAAATTGGTTAGTGGTAGTATTGCATTTATGTTAAAAAGAGGAGGACCTTTAGCCGGGCGTGGTGGCACAAGCCTGAGTTCTGATTACTTGGAAGGCTTATGCTGAAGGATTGCCTGAGCTCAGAGGGTCGAGGCTGTGGTGGCCATGGGTGTGTCACTGCACTCTGGCTTGGGCAACAGAGTGAGATTTTGACTCAAAAAAAAAAAAAGGGGCCTTATCTTTAAGAGATAGATATCGGACTACTCCCATTAAATTACCTGATCTTTGGTGTGCACTTTAAAATCCAGTGGGGGAGTATGTGGAAAATAGGAGGTAGAAATGAAATAAAATACCTTTGTTAACAATTATTAAAGCTGGATGATAAGTTCATGAGTATACATTATACTATTCTTGTGACTTGGGGGTGAATCTGAGAATTCTTCCTAGCCACTGAGACTTTTTCAGTAGGGGAATGATGGATGAAATTTGCATCTTTGCAGGTGCATCCTTGAGGGTAGGCAGACCAGATGGGAGCTGTCAAGAAGGGTCACAGTGAGAAAGGAATGAGCTCTGAGAATGTCATTGGGAGTGGGAAAAAGGTTGTGGATATGAACAGTGTTAAGGAGACAGAACGAGGGAGCTAAACAAGCAGGAATGAAGGATGACTTTCTGGTTTCAGGCTTAGATGACTGAATGATGGGGCCATTCAACAGACAAGGGAATTCAGAAGAAATGAAAGTTAGGGGTGAAGGGAGTGGTAGATTCCATTTCAGACATGTTGGGACTGAGGTGCTGTGGAGCATCCAGATCTTAGGAGAGAGGTCTGTATAGAGATATGGTTTTGGCAATTATCAGCAGCAGCATAATTTCCATGGAAACATATGGAGTGTAGGCACAAGGGAAAAAAAAAAAAACTTTCTCCATGATCAAGCACTTCCTGCCAAGTTAACAAATGACTCTTGGGTTGCTTTAACATTTAAAAAGCAACACAGTGGGGCAACACCTTGGGTCCCCTCCCACTGTGGGAGCTTTTCTGTCCTCTTAATAAATCCTGCTTTCTCATTAAAAAAAAAAAAGTGATGCAGTGGCTTAATCAAGGAGAATGATGTAAGACAACCAAATAGCAATATATGATATCCATGCTGTTCTGTTTCCCCTCAGTTTCCATTTCGAATGTGTGATAGATCCTCAGGGTTTAAGTGTAGGATTTTCTTGTTTCATTTTCTTTCTCTTAATAAAGGAGTTTTCGAGTGGACGCTGAAACATTAGAAAAACAAATCTCATGTGGAAGATCAAATCTTGCCTTTTCTTTTTTTAATCCTACCATTATTTATTCCTTCAATTTTGTTATCTTCCATGTTGCTTATGGTATTTAAAAAATTGAAGGGAAATACCAAAACCATCTAGATCCAGGGCCACAGTTCAATTTCCTATCTTTAATGCAGCCACAATAAAGTTAAATTCTTGGGCTGATGTATAGGCAGAAGGAGCCATACAGCTGCTGATTGATGTAAAAGAGCATTTTGTGTCAGGGATTGATTTATACCTTAAAACAAGGCAAAGAGAAGAATACGCTGTTGCTGGGGAAGCGTCATGATTTGCTGTTGGTGAGAGCCTTGGGCCATCTGTTAGGCTTTAATAAAACATGGTCATAACATTTTGGCTTGAAATACAGAATGATTTACCAAGTCAAAATTAAAGTTTGTCAGCAGTTGAGGGCCTTGTAGGATATGTTTTTAAGAGGAGGTTGTTTTTGGTTTTTTTCCCTTTAAATATTTATATCTTTGGTATTGATATTCAAATAAAAGGAAAATCACATTAATATCTTTATTTGTCTGTTCTGATTTCTTTCTCAAAATCTGGTGTTGCCTGCTCAATTCAAATTTCTCAACCTGCTATTTGAAGGCTCTGTAATTTGGCCTCATCCAAGAACAATTAAATCAGAGTTTTGGTCCACTGGACTCAGGCATCAGTTTTCTCAATCTCCCCATGCATTTGTATTGTGTAATCAAGGTTGAGAGTCATCCTGGTCACAGTGCAAATGAGGGAAAACAATGGGGGCCTTTGGATGATCTATCATGAAAAGCAAATGTCAGAAATTAAAGTGTTTCTAAACTTCAGATGGTAGCTATGGAGTGTCTGTGTATGTGGTTTACATCACCTCTCTCTGTCCTGCCACGCAGGTGACCGCAGTGCGGGTGTATGTCAACAGTTCCTCTGAGAACCTCGACTACCCAGTCCTCGTGGTGGTTCGCCAGCAGAAAGAAGAGGTGTCCTGGCAGGTCCCTCTGCTCTTACAAGGACTGTAAGTGGGTTTTTTCCCCAGACAACTTTACTCCATTTTGTTTCCAATGTCCTAGACCTTAATTGGTCTTTTCTCTAGTGAAAGGAGAAATCAGACATTTGGAATGTTGCAATATGACATGCTAAGTGCCAATGGTAGTCATAGTGCATGCCCTGACCTGTTCAGCTCTGCTCAATCTTCAACCCCTTTGAATTTCAGATAAGTATTCTACCTAGATTTGCAAAACCTGAAAGAACTTGGCCATTTTAAAATTCTACCGTAACATTCTGTAGCTCTTGGTTGGATAATGGGTCATCCAATAGCCATCCAGTGGGCCAGGCCCAGCAGTCAACAAAAACCAGTAACACCTTCCTCATTCTTCAAAATGTCCATCATGTGTTCATTCTTCGTTCCATAATGTTTATTGAGTTCTACTAAGTGGTAAGCACAGGGGATACAGCAACAAAAAAGCAACAAAATCCCTTTCCCCATGGGAGCTTATATTTTTACAGGGGAGAATTGTAAAAGGCACTATGTAGCACTAATAAGAAAAAACCCGGAAGCATACAAAATGGGCACATAGTAAGGTGCTGCAACATTTTTAAATGCTGAGGAATTTGGTGATTGAACTACTGACTCTGATAGGTTTGACTTAGACTCCAGAGCTCTCCTTACCCTCTATTTTAACAAAAGTTTAAAGAGTGAGTGCAATCGGCTGGTTATCAGGACAGTCCCCCCCTCTCAAAATTTGATATTTTTTCCTCACTGAAATAGGAGAATGGCTCAGTGTAATGTAGACACTGCCTATGTCAGCACAGAACAGTCCTCATGTCTCTCTTATTATATCACACAACCTAGTATCAACAACATTAGTTCTAAAATCACTGTTGATAGGCCCAGTCTAAAATTTAAGACATAAGAACTTGAAAACAAATTTGGAGGGAGGTAAAATGAGATAGGCTTCTTTCCTTGCTCATTCATTGAGACTCTCTCTTGTTCTTGCTGGTTTTTCTCTCCACTGGTGGCTACAGATATCAGAAGAGCTCCAACTACCAGGAAGTAAGCCGTACCTTATGTCCCTCAGAAGCAACCAATGAAACAGGACCTGTGGAGCATCTGATATTTGTAGATGTAGCATCCATGGCACCACGGGGTGCCCAGTACAAACTGCTGGTTACCAAGCTCAAGCACTTCCAGCTCAGGTAAGCAGGACTCACTGTGGCCTTTCTCTGTTGACTTCTCTGCGTGTCCAGTGCCCAGGGATGCTCAATTCAGCAACCATCCTTATAGATTAGCACTCGAAGGAAATCATCCACTTGTCATTTTAGCACCTTCTGAAACCCCCTGCCATAACTGGGCAGCAGGACCTTGATATATGCAATGGGGAAGTAGCAGGGACTGATGCAGGTATAAGAGTGTTGACCTCAAAGGTGATTGTGTTTCCAGGGATCTGTGAGAGGACCCTGCCCAGTCTCGAGTACAGGCAGGAATTACTGCTGACTGCAACTTTTGTATTACTAATCAGTGCCACACTCCTGAAGGAAGTTTTGTTTTTGTTTTAGGGAAGATTTTAAGCTACTTTTCCTATCCTTATTTGCTATTGCAGTTTTCTCCTTCCAGGTTAGTAATGCAGGCTTTGTCCATCTTTGAAGTGACTGAAATAGGGTCCAAGTGCTTAATTCACAGACTTCAACACCAGAAGTTTAAGTTATAAGAAGGAGAGGTTTTTATTAACCAAGAGCCGGGCCGGCGGCCACTTGCCTGCTGGACATAACAGTCCCACAGCAGAAGGCCCTGATTAGCTGTAGGGGCTTGCTTAAGAAAGGCTAAACCACATTGGGACTTTTCAAGTGGGCTAAACCGCAACATCCTGGAGGCCTAGGTACCTTTCAAGCAATGCAAGTGTGGTTCACAGAAGCGAAAAAAAAAGCTGTTAGACAGTTTAACCTAGCCAGCAAGTGCTGTTGCCAGTTTCCAGGAAGGGAACCTTTTAACTGTGCAAAGGCTGAGTACATGTTTAGCCTAATTTTTGACATTGTAGATGTTTTTTTAAAGCCCCCTTCCACATGACCAGTATGATTTTTTCTCCGTTTCTTTCTTTTTTTTTTTTTGAGTTGGAGTCTCACTCTGTCGTCCAGACTGGAGTGCAGTGGCTGCTCCCAGCCACGGCAGCCTCAACCTGCTGGGCTCCAGCGATCCTTCTGCCTCAGCCTTCCAAGTAGCCGGAACTACAGGCGCACACTACCACGCCCAGCTAATTTTTTGATTTATTATAGAGATGAGGTCTCGCCAAGTTGCCCAGGCAGGTCTCGAACCCACAGGCTCAGGCAATTCACTCACCTCAGCCTCCCAAGGC